GGGGAGCAAAAGGGGCACAATGGAGCTGGATATCCCCAGTGGCTGCTGCTGCTGCTTTTAATTAAGAGAGAGAGAGATACTGGGGCTTAAACTCTGGGGTGCTTTAGCAATGGGTACATTACCAACCCTTTTTATTTTGAGACAGGATCTTGCCAAGTTGCTGAGACTGGCCTCAAATTTACAATCCATTTTAAATAAGATAACATTAATTCAAGTGTTATTTTGAATAAATTATCAAATTATGAATATTTATCTTATTTAAGAAGTTTAAAAATGAAAAGTTACCTTCATTACAACTTAAGGTCCTTTTTTGGGGGGTGGGTACTGGGGATTGGACTCAGTGGCAACTTGACCACTGAACCACATCCTCAGCCCTATTTTGTATTGTATTTAGAGATAAGGTCTCACTGAGTTGCTGAGCGCCTCGCTTTTTTTGAGTTCCCAATCCTCCTGCCTCAGCCTCCTGAGCCACTGGGATTATAGGCATGTGTCACCGTGTCTGGCTCAATTTAAGGCTCTTAGTAGGTAAATTGAGGAAACTGAATGACCTGGTACTCCAAGCCTTAAGATCAGAAAATCATCTAAGTAGCTTTTCTTTTTTCTTTTCTTTTTTTTTTTTTTTTTGAGAGAGAGAGAGAGAGAATTTTTTAATATTTAGTTTTTAGTTATCGGTGGACACAACATCTTTGTTTGTATGTGGTGCTGAGGATCGAACCCGGGCCGTATGCATGCCAGGCGAGCGTGCTACCGCTTGAGCATGCACATCCCCAGCCCTAAGTAGCTTTTCTAATAATCTCAAAAGAATTACTAAAGTTAAGTAGAAAAGATTTCTCTCTGCATCAACTCTTAGGGGAGAGCAGTTGCTACTAATTAATAACTGATATCCTTAGGAGCTGGGATTTGGGAATTTTACTTTTGAAGAGAATTACAGATTTTCAAGCCTTTTTGTTAATCGTTCTATTTCACATCTTTCCATTATGAATCGAAATTTGAACTTGAGCTAGAAGGAGTTGAGGGAAGAAAAGACTCAAATTTTTTTCCTGTGCTGGGGATTAAACCCAGGGCCTCATGCATTCTAGGCAAGCTCTCTTTTGCCATGCCACAACTCTAGCCTTTTTAATTTTGTTTTTAAGTAGAATATATAGCTCTGAAGGATACCGACCTACACTTTCTACGTTTCCAACAGCTGACAGTAAATTTTGGGGACCATATTTATAAGTTTGCATTCTTAGAAACAGTTCAGTGGCTGGCTGTATTGAAAATGTTACTTCCTTTAACATTTGTATCGATACATGATGTCTTCTCACCTTGAATAGTCTATGGGGCTTGGAGTTTAACTTAGTTGTAGAGTGCATGCCTAGCATGTGTGAAGCCCTGGGCTCAGTCCATCCCCAGCGCCCAAAACAAAATAAACACCTGTTTTGGACACTTGAGAAAAAAAATTTTTTTTAAACTTTAGTATTATTTTTACCTTATAGTATGGCTGTAATATCTGATCTCTTAGTGTAAAAACCACAGATTAAATCCTATTAAGGGAATTTTTTTATATGCTAGGCAATTGCTCTACCTCTAAGCTACACTGCAAGTCCTGATCTGAGGGATTTTTGAAAAATTCTGAGTTGTGATTTTTTTTTTTTAATTTTTTTTTAGTTGTAGACAGACACAGTACCTTCATTTTATTTGTTTTTATGTGGTGCTGGGGATTGAACCCAGTGCCTCACAGATGGAAGGCAAATGCTCACCAACTGAGCTACAACTCCAGCCCGAGTTATGATTTTTAAAGAAACCTTACTTGACTCTGAGGACTTTTTGAGCTTAGAGTTTTCCCCTCGAACTTAGTTTTTCACTGGCAGAGAACATGCTAGTGTGTTCCAAATGTGCTTGAGTTACTCTATCTAAAGGTGGCGTTGGCATTTCACAATCTCCCTGTTGCAGTTTGTCTGCGCAACTAGAAAAGCTTTACATAAGCTCAGTGGCTGCCCTGTGCCCTGGAGCCAGACCTCCTTTGCAGCAAAGAAGACCTAACGGTATAGTGCACTGGTGAGGTCACTTGAGTTTTAAATAGAGCCTGGCTCTTGAAATAAGGACAGCATGATTTAGGGGAAAGGCCAGAACTTGATCTCCATGGCCTCAGGCACTGGAGCTTCTCCTGGCACCAGAGACCATTATTAGGTCGCATCATAGTGGCTAGGTTTCAGCGCCCATGTTGGCAGTGGGAGAGATGAGAGCACGGTGGACTGAGGGCTCACCCACAGACCTGCCAGAGCCTCTGCCTGTCTCATAGCCAGTCTGGGGAGTTCTTTGCAGGCCAGTGCTCAGGTTCATGGAAGGGAAGTGGTATAAAGAGCAAAGGAAGTGTCAGGCTAGGGAAGAGGATGTGATAGAGAAGAAATACTTGATATGGGAAGATAAGAAAGAAATGTATATGTGTCAATAGTGAGAAATACACGAGGAAAAAGTCTTCAGGGCATCCTCAAGTATACCTGCTCACATCTCCCAGCGCATGCACTTGTATCCCAGCTCTTCAGCCTTTTGTCATAACAGATCCCTGTTTGTTTTTTATATTGTTGTTTTGGTTACTGGGGATTGAATTCAGGGCCACGGAGTTGCTTAGCACCTTGCCAGAGCCGAGGCTAGTTTTAAACTCACGATCCTCCTGTCTCAGCCTCTCAAAATGCTGGGATTACAAGTGTGTGCCACCGCACCCGGCACAAATCCCTGTTTTTGGGTAAGGGAACTATGACCATGAGAAGTGGAATGTTTTGCCCCTTGAGTGACAGGCAAGGAATTTTCTTGGCATTTGTGTGGTGGTAGCCATCAGAACTCAGTGTGTGAGCGTTGCCCGAGGAGTGAGCAGCCATGACTGTGTGAAGATGATCAGCATCCCTGTTCATCCAGGAAAAGGGATGTTTGCACAGGGCAGGGTGTTGGGGGTGAGGAGACAGGGGTCCTGGAGTGAAAAACATCTCTTCCCTCACTTGTGCTCTGAATTCTTCTAGCAGCACCTTCACACTCATCTGCTGTAGGTATTATAATAGCGAGTCAGTAATGTATCATGAAGGGTTAACTTAAGAAAACTACTTAAAAAAATACTAATCAGTTCAAGAAATATTTGCATTGCATAACATTTTCTGACTATCTCAAAAATTAGTAAACTACACGTGATGAATTCAAAGACTGAATTGCTTGTAGCACCCTAATAAGTATGATCTGGTTTTTATGTTCTGATTTAATTATCTCTGCATTGGAATTGGTGGCGACAAGCTGGGTGTGGTGGTGCATACTAGTAATCCCTGTGACTCCTGCTGTGGACTTACTACAAAGAAGTTTAAACACAGGCTACAGTTAACAAGTTCAAGGCCAGCCTTGGCAACAAAGGTCCATCAACAACTAATAAAATATTAAAAAATGAAAATAAAAGGCTGTAGAAAGAAGGTAAATGACTTGGACGTGGAAAAAAATCTTTGGCAAAGCATCCCCCCACAAACACTTTAGTATATATATTATGTAATGCAATTTTACATAGAAGCTATGATCAACACCAGGAACATAACAAGTGGCTAGTTTACCTGGGGGTGAAGAAGAGAGTAGGGAAAAAATGGTTTCATAGGGAATGTATTACCTTGTTTGGGGGGCTTTGGGGGGTAGTGGGGAATTAACCCAGGGGAGCTTTACCACTGAGCACATCCCCAGCCCTTTTTATTTTGAGACAGGTCTCTGCTAAGCTGCTGAGGCTGGCCTTGAACTTGTGATCTGCCTGTCTCAGCCTCCTGTGTGGCTGGATTATAGGCATGTACCACTGCCCCTGGCCTTATCTTGGTTTTTAATACTTTCAGTATATGCCAGGTAGGAGTACTGGAAGGTGTTCTAGGTGGGGCAGAAGAACAAGCAGCCAGTAAACACAGGCTGGATGAATAATGTGGCCTCAGAATCTGGAAGATAGTAAGAGTGCTGTTAGAAACCTAATGGCTGTGATATCACACAACCAGGTGAAATAAAAAAGGAGTGTTAGTGACTTAATGTCTTGACAATCTTAGGATGGTGAAGACAGAAACCTTTGAAGTTCCTATGTTTATTAAAGCATCATCTCTGTTGACTACCTCCAGAAGTACTTGCTCATTTTTCTTGTCCTGTATGTTACTAATCCTATGGATGCTGCCTGTCACAAGTACACATTTCTCCACTTTTTTTTTTTGATAGCAGAAATTGAACCCAGGGGTGCTTAACCACTGAGCCACATCCCCCCCTTTTTTTTTATATTTATTTTTTGTGGTGCTGAGGATCGAACCCAGGTCCCGCCCATGCTAGGCGAGCCCTCTACTGCTGAGCCACAATCCCAGCCCCCATCCCCAGCCCTTTTTATTTTTTGAGATAATGTCTTGCTAAGTTGTTGAGTCTGGCTTTAAGCTTGTGATCCTCTAGCCTCTATCTCCCAAGTTACTGGGATTACTGGTGTGCGCCACCACGCCTGGTAATTCATCTTCTCTTGGCACACCAGCAGAAAAGCCTTCTTGTTTCTCAAAAGTCAACTCAAACTTGACTCAGGTATATTCTCACCCCAAAGGGGTAGGCCTAGGAGTCAGTGGATAGCGCAAATGAAGTTGTCAGAGAAGCTGAGGAATGTAAGTCATCTATTAGAATCTCTAGGATCATATGTATGTGATGTTACATGAGAAAATTGTATAGGCCTTTTGCAATTAAAATAACAACTTGAGTTGTCATCTAAGAGCTAGACTTGACAGTTCTTCCATAGAACCACATGTGCTGGGCCTGGGTCCTTCTCTGAGGAGGAAGCCAGGGTTTGATTACCTTGATCCAGCTGCATTTTTCCCTTGTTGGTTGCCTGTTCCCCCTCCACTCCCTTCCCTATTCCCACACAGTGTTCTTCTTTTTCTGTTAATCATTTTGATTTACTGTTGTGTTTTAGTCGTATGAATATGTGACTAACCCAGTTGATATCATCTGTACAGTAACAGCTCTTTATTGTTTTCTTCTCACAGGTGACAGAGCTGAATGAGCCACTGTCCAATGAAGAACGGAACCTGCTCTCTGTGGCTTACAAGAATGTCGTTGGAGCTCGCCGTTCCTCATGGAGGGTCATCAGTAGCATTGAGCAGAAGACATCTGCAGATGGCAACGAGAAGAAGATAGAGATGGTTCGTGCTTACCGGGAGAAAATCGAGAAGGAGCTGGAGGCGGTGTGTCAAGATGTGCTGAGCCTGCTGGACAACTACCTGATCAAGAATTGCAGCGAGACCCAGTACGAGAGCAAGGTGTTCTACCTGAAGATGAAAGGGGACTATTACCGCTACCTGGCTGAAGTAGCCACTGGAGAGAAGCGGGCCACCGTGGTGGAGTCCTCTGAGAAGGCCTACAGCGAAGCCCATGAGATCAGCAAGGAGCACATGCAGCCCACCCACCCCATCCGGTTGGGCCTGGCGCTTAACTACTCCGTGTTCTACTACGAGATCCAGAACGCCCCAGAGCAAGCCTGCCACTTGGCCAAGACCGCCTTTGACGATGCCATTGCCGAGCTCGACACTCTGAACGAGGACTCCTACAAGGACTCCACTCTCATCATGCAGCTCCTCCGTGACAACCTAACGCTCTGGACAAGCGATCAGCAAGACGACGAGGGCGGAGAAGGCAACAATTAAGGCCCCAGGTGGACTGGCAGCGCACGCTGATGCTACTACTGCAGTCTTTATTTTTTTCCCATGAGTTGGGGGTCGGGTGGGGGAGGGAAAGGGAGGGCTGACCTTCCCAGGGAGAAACCCACGACCTGTCCTGTCTTTGATCGCCTCTTTGACGTTTTTGCCAAAATACCACTAGTGGAAAGTCAGGCTAGCTGTGCTGGTATTGGAGTAGCAGTCTCACGGCATATGGACTGTGGTGTAGGTTCATGCAAGTGGAGCTGTCTGTCTTTAATTTAACTTATTGCTAGGTGATAGGTTTTGAGATGAAAAGAAAATGTAAATGGAATGGCCCTCATTCAGTAAGTTCTGTGGTTCCAGTAACGATTTTATGTACATACGCTCTTGTCTTAAGTTTTGGGTACTTTCTCGCTCCTCTGTTTTAGCTGTGCATTTCTTTTGGGGTGTCCTCTACCAGACATGGCATAGTTTAAATCCCAAGCAAACAGACTTGGAGCATGAGGTTTGCTCATCCTACAGTTTAGGCCTGCCCGTTTTCCTCAAGTCTGATTAGTTGACAGTATTAACACTAAATTGCAGTTTACAGTGTTTCTACATTACAGCCATATGTGACATCAAGCCATCAATTGTGAATTTTTCTTTGCTGTTTTGTTTTTTTTTTTGGCTTTACATTCTTCTTTAGCCGTATCTAGGTTGGTTTTGCTGTTCTCTGCCTCCTTGGCTAACAAACGTGCCCTGAGGAGAGTCAAAGCTACTTTAGGTTCGGTTAATAGGTGCTTGGCAGGTGGCTGTGGGATTTCATCCTCCTTTCCTCTTAACAAATCAACAACAGAAGTTATTAATCACTTTAACAGAAACATTAAGCACCGCAAAAATGGAGGCACTTCAGGTCTGTCATGTATGGTGTTAGATTCTCCATGACCCCTGCTCCCAGCTGCCTCAGCTCCTTCCTCAGGGATTGCACTGCCATTTGCTCCCCTCTGCACGTGAACTTTCCCCGCTGTACTGGTGCCTACGGCACACGAGTGGCTTGGAGGTTGGATCCTAGAGGCTGGTGGCCTTCAAGAATGTGTGTGGTGCAGTGTGGAGAGTCAGGTGCTAGAAGCTGAACCTGTAGAGACCCGGCAGGAGGCGCTGCGCCTGCCCAGCCTTCCTCCAGCTCTCCTTCCTGAGGGCAGGCCTGCTGCGGCGGTGAGTGAAGTCACCATGGGGAGTAAGCGCTGAATCCTGTTTGACCAAAACTTTTCCCCTTTTTCTATTCAAGGAAAGCATGGAAGTTGGAGGTTGACCTCTCTGAGTTAGCGCACATTTTGCAATTGAAGGAAACCACAGAGCTGTTTCCACACAGCTGTTCTCAGTTAGCCCTGGGGCCCTCCTTCCCACTGTAGCTTGGTCTCTGTAAACCTGACCCATTGCATGTCGCCTGTCCAGTTTTTCTTAGCTTTTTTTTTTTAAACAAAATCAGTAACCATGTGGACTCCTAAGATCGGTAATGACACCAGAGTTACTTTGTTACTTTATTTTATTTAGGCAAGAAGAGATATGAGTAATGACTGAGGAAAACCTGACATGCTTTTGCTAGACCAAAATCAAGCTTACAATTAGGAAATGAGTATGTTTAACAGGACACAGTGACAGTGACAATAGAAGCGTGGTGATGACCGTAGAATCAGTGTGCTCCGTAGTATTGCAGTTTCCCAGCATGATTTTCCTTTGAGGGCCCCTCCTCACCCTGATGGAAGTCCTGACTCACTGAATTCTTCCAGGAGTTCTAACTCAACAGAGCTTTGTCGCTTTTGTGCCATTACAGGAGCCTGGAGTCATCACTGTGGATGGAAAACATTTGGGGGAAGGGGCGGGTGGGTCTTTCCCTAATTTTATCTTCATGTCCAGTGAGCAGTGTCATGTCCGTCCTTATCGCATTTGGAAATGATTGACTGGAATTACAAAACCTATTTTTCCTTTAAATTTCAGCTTTGGCTCTGGCTGCGTTTTAGAATAATGCAAGATAAAATCCCTGCAGACAGACAGAGGGCTGGAACTGAAGAGGGACAGGAGACTTGGTGTTACGCAGCTTGAATGGTTTCTTTTCTTTTCTTTATTTTTAAAGAAATGCACTTGCCTATGATACTGTCTCTCCAGTGAAATGATTACTCCTCCATTACTCTATTGATACAATATTGTGCATGCTCGTGTTGTATTTCTATACAGTAGCTTGAAATTTATTAACTTATACTGTAGGTGTTATGTATTCCTATGACAAAAAAAAATTAAGTCTTCAAATTTTTTAAAGTTTTTTTAATTTAATTTTTCCTTTTGGGGGTACAAGTTTGCTCTACCAAATAGTGATCGTAACAAATTGATCTGTTTTGGATGTTGCTATAGTGACATGCAGTTATATATTTTGTTTTTAAGGGGGGGGCAAAAGAAACACCAGTGTTAGCTTAATCTTAATGTCTGGTGTTTGTCATGGTGAAATTATAACTATTACAGTGTAGGAGAGCACTGACTATGTTCTCCGAATGAGCCTTTGTGCTTTTTGTCATGTTATGCAGTGAACTATTTTTAAGGTCTAATCAGTGATTATTTTTCCAACTCCGTGTTTCTCTAAGGAATTATTTCGCACACGGACCATTCTTAGCAGTTTTCCTCAGTGATGGAATATCATGAATGTGAGTCATTATGTAGCTGTCGTACATTGAGCAAATAAACTTACAGATCTGATGTCCGTGCCATTTAGTTTCATTTAATGTTTTAACTTTTCCTTTGCTTTTGGGGGTATGATTGGAGGTGTGTGAGTTTGGATGGGTTGATGGGGTGTGGGGCGAGACAGCTTCCAGTACAAAGGGCCTGTGTCTGGTAGTCAGACCTGGGCTTAGTGACCTTAAGAAAATCAAGGGTTGATTGAGGGTATGGCTCAGCGGTAGAGCACTTGTCCCTTGCCTAGATGTGCACAAGTCCTGGATTTGATCCCCAGCACTTGAACAAAAAAAGGAAATGGAAATTAGAACACTGTCTGGGCCTCCTAAGTCTGCTTTTTATTTTTTTTTGTACCGTGATTGAACTCGGGCACAAGGCCACTGAGCCACATCCCCAGCCCTGTTTTGTATTTTATTTATAGACAGGGTCTCACTGAGTTGCTTAGTTCCTCACTTTTTGCTGAGGCTGGCTTTGAACTCACGATCCTCCTATCTCAGCCTCTCAAGCTGCTGGGATTACAGGTGTGCACCACCACACCCAGCCCAAATCTCTTGCAAAGTACTGTGTTTGGCTGGGTCCCAAAGGGCCCTTTGGGGATACAACTGGTGAGAAGCACAGGCCCGAGTTTGAATCCTGCTCCTGAGCCCAATAGCCAGGTGCTGCTGGAGGCAGCCGTGTCAGGAGGTACCTGCAAGTGGGAGTATTGTCCATGAGGTAAAGCCTTTGCACCTTTCAGGGGGTACGAGTTTCAGCAGAAGGGAAGGGTGGCCTTTACAGTGGAGGGAGACAAGTTTTTTTTTTATTTTCTGAGAAACTTTAACTCACATTTGGTGTGATAAGACCGTGTCAGAGGCCTTTCACTGTACATTGAATGAATTGTCTCCTGGGTTAGCTTGTTTGTCCCTGGGACCACCCGAGTGCCACTGCAAGTATGGCTTGGAACTGGCAGTGACTGGGCCTGAGGTCCTACCACACACTGATGCCTGGATTTGGGGCCCTCCCAAGTTTGGTGAGCTAAGCCCGGGCTGCTTCTGGCAGTGCCGACATGGCCCCTCGGGATGTGCTGAGCAGGATCAGTATAGGAGCCACTGAGCGTAGAAGGAGAAAGTACAGGCGTGGGCAGGTTTTGAGAGGGTCCCTGAGGCTCTTTGGAAACAAGGGAAAAGGACTTAGAAGTTTCTATCACACCCTGTTCCTTTGTGACACCTGCCTCTTAGGGTTATCATGACTGGAATTTACCCAGAGTATTCCATGAACACTTGGAAATTGTTTTTTGAGGAGGGGGACACTTTGTTGCCCATGCTGGCCTCCTGCTAAGTCGGTGAGACTGCAGGCAGACACTACCATGTCTGGCTGGCCAGTTTTAAGATTTCTTTGATGCAACAGTCCTCAGACTTTCTCAACTCAGAACCCTTTTACATAACTCTGAAGAGCTTTTGTTTGTGTGGGGTTGAATCAAAAACTACAAGTTAAAAATACTCATTTGTCTAAAAACAATCACCATTTGTTTCTTGAAAAATAGTTGTTTTCCAAAACAAACAAACAAAAAAAATAGAGGCGTAGCATTGTTTCACAGTTTTATAGGTCAACTGGACTCTGATATCTGATGCTACGTGCAGTGTGTTGTGATACGTTGAAGTATTGGGGGGTGGGTAGTTGGAAAGGATGGCCCTGAAGAGCTGGGTTGAATGGTGGTTTAGAAGAAGGCTAAAAGCTTCTCATGGTTCAGGTGGCACTCATCTGTAATCCAAGCTGCTTAGGAGGCTAAGGCAGGAGGATCGGAGGTTCAAGACCAGTGTGGGCAACTTAGTGAAATCTGTCTCAAAATTCACTAAGGGCAGGGGATGTAGCACAGTGGTAACAGTGCCCCTGGGTTCAGTCCCCAGAACTGCAGAACAACAAACTCATTCTTCAAGCTCTGTGTCCTCGTGCTGAGTGTGTTATAGAATTTTGAAAATAGCCAGTAGGGTAAAGCAGTGAGGTAAGGTGACAGGGACAGGAGTGGGTATTAGGGAGTCCCTCAGCCCCCTTGTTTGGGGCATCCGTGGAGCAGAGTTCATCCTGACAACTTTGGGGGTGGAGTAGAGGTCATAAATAAGGAGGTTCAGTGGCAGGAACCTTCCAGCACAGCAGGCATGCTGCAGAGGGCGGGTGCAGTTTCTCTCCAGTCTATTTATGAGCAATGACCACACACACTGGCCTCTGCACGGGTCAACTGAGACTGCACATTGACTCACTCTGGATGATTCGAGTGGCTAAGAATGGCAACTTGGTTTTCAGAGCAAGTTTGGAGAAATAGCTTCTGAAAACTAGCTGTTCTCTATTTCTGGGAGTTGACATTAAGTGGTCACCAACCTGATCAGAGCATTAAAATGTGATATACCTGGCGCTGGAGTTGTAGCTCAGTGGTAGAGAGCTCGCCTCGCATGTTCGAGGCTCTGGGTTTGATCCTCAATACCACATAAAAATAAATAAAATAAAGGTATTGTGTCAAAGTACAACTAAAAAATAAATATTTAAGAAAAATGTGATATACCAGCCTTGTCCAATGAGCCTGCTGGTATGAATTCACCAAGTCTGGAGTGATGAGACAGGACGGGTTAGATGCAAACCACACCAGCCCTACCTCTAAGGAATTGTGAGTACCTGTGGTCCGGGAGGAGTCTGCAGGAGGAGCGGGCTCTCACAGGCCTCACAAGTGAACAGATTGCCCAGGTTAAGTAAGGTACTGGTTAGGCACTCCTGCCCTACTGCAAGAGAGGAAAGCCAATAGGAATTACTTTGAGGAACATGATTTGGGGGTAGGAATGTTTTTTAATTAGCGGTGTATGCACCTAACAATATAAAAGGGTGCGATGTTGGGGCTGGGGATGTGGCTCAAGCAGTAACACGCGCACCTGGCATGCGCAGAGTGCTGGGTTCGATCCTCAGCACCACATAAAAATAAAATAAAGATGTTGTGTCCACCAAAAACTGAAAAATAAAGGGTGCAATGTAAAACAGTTTTTTGTATTCTTGCTAAGAATGTAGTTTTAATTTTTTAATATTTGAGACAGGGTCTTGCTAAGTGGCTGAGACTGATTTCAATTTTTAAAAATTTTCTTATTTACTATATGTATTTTTATTTTTTTACCTTGAACTTTGGATCCTCCTACAAGAAACACAGGTGGTTCACAAACCTTAAAATATTTACTACCTGGCTAATCCTGTGCTGACCCCTGGTTTCCCATTAACTGTCCCACCATGCCTGTACACATGCCATGCATTCATTGCCCCTTTGTAGTATAACCCTGCTGTCCCCCTCCTGATATGGCTCAGCCTGAGATAGGATTTTTGCTTCTTTTGAGCGCTACTATGGACCAGAAATGTTTGCACAGTGATTTTAAATAAGGATAAATGGGATTTGGTGGCCTCTTGAATTAGAGGATTTAGCCCCATTGGAAGGGGGCAGACTTCTCTTTGTGTTGTGGAACTTGGAAGTCGCCACATGCCATTTACTCCGTGTTCACATTTCTCCTAAAAATAAGGATGGTTTTCTTACGTAACCACCATTACACCAAACAGCAATTCCCTAGTGTATCAGCCCATGTTCAGATTTCCCCACATTGTCCTCAGGATGCATTTGATGGCTCATTCTTCTTTCTTTTTTTATTTTTAACATTTATTTAGTTGTCAGTGGACCTTTATTTACACAAATGCAGTGTTGAGAATCGAACCCAGGGCCTCACACATGCTAGGCGAGCACTCTACCACTAAGCCACAACCCCAGCCCTTGATGACTCATTCTAACACCACTCCCATGCCAAGGAGGATCAATTCAAAATTCATTCTACCTCTTTTATGACATTGACTCTGGGTTGCAAGAGAACAGGCTACTTGATAGTCTCATAGAATGTCCCACACTCTGGGCTTGTCTGTAAGTTTCCTCCTGCCATTCAGTTTGTTTCCTACCCAGTTGGGAAACTTGTCTTGCCAAAGGATTTTTGTTTCTTTTTTTTTTCTTTCTTGTGGCACTAGGAGGGCTCTGCCACTGAGCCATGCCCGCAGCCCTTTCCCTTGCCGGAGGATGTGGCTCTGTCTTCCAGCCTTCTCCCTGGTTCCTTTGCTGGTCAGCAGCAACCAACACCAAGGCCAACCTAAGCCACAGGGTGAAAGCAGCTCTGAATCATGGGCCAGGAGGACTGAGCCACCCTTGAGAACCATCATGTTTCCTGACTGGTCTGCTAGGCTGGGCTTTGCCTCCTCCCAGTACCTTCCCCCAACCCTCATGGGAAAAGGGAGGTGCTCTATGAGCACTTGCTTTGACTCAGCAAACTGTCCCACATGCTTGGCCTGGTGAGGCCTGGCAATCTACAGCTGTTGTGTCCTGAGCAGGGTGTCGGGTGGGGTGGAGAAACGGTGCCACTCACCATAGGTGCCATAGTTATATCAGCAACAGCTGAGTGGATGCAGGCCACCTTCATTCTGGGTCTGGTTAGGGAAGCCTCAGCCATGTGCTAAACTGGTTCTCCCAGGTGGGCACAATGGCGCATGCCTGTAATCTCTGGAGGCTGAGGCAGGAGGATCGCAATTTGAAAGCCACCCTCAGCAACTTAGTAAGACCCTAAACAATTCAGCAAGACAGTCTCAAATTAAAAAAAGAATGAAAGAAAAAAAGGCTGGGGATGTGTGGCTCAGTGCCCCAGGTTCAGTCATCCCCCTGTACAAAACAATAACAACCACCAAAAAACCCTGGTTCTTCCAATGACGGACAAATTATCTTACCTACTACTTTGGCTCTTAGACATCCAAATGCCACTTTTTATTCTAATCTGAAGCAGTATTTTAGGGCTGGGGTCTTAGTGGTTATTTTTGTTTAGTGACACGGGTTGGAACCACAAATGTAGTCAAGCACTATACCACTGAGCTACAGTTGCAGCCTCTCGTCATTTATGTAGTACTGGGGACTGAATTTGGCATTGCACATGGTAGGCAACCCCTTATCACTGAGCTACATTCCCACCTTTTGTTTATGTTTTTTTGGT